TTTGTTGCAAGATAGCATGTTCGCGTCGCATAAATTGGTGTAGAACATAGTGTAGAATTACTCTTAACATTAACTCATATGGCTCCGTATTACTTGATTTCCGACGTATATGACAGGAAGTTTAAATATTACAGAACTCCGCGAGTATTTGCAGTAGAAATACGAAAGTACCACCAAAAAAATCCGCGCTTGAAAAGTTCTATGAAATCGAACAATGTAAAATAGCCATACATTATAAACTAGGCATACTTGAACAATGTAAACTAACCATACCATACTATATACAATATTAAAACTCGAGGAATGTAAACAATGCATCACTAAGCCATACCTTTCGCCGAATATAACTTCGGCCCCTTTCAACATATCTTTTTGGTATTAGTCTTGTTCGGAACACAATCCAACACACTATTTAGAGTGTTATTTTCAAGCTTGTATGTACAGTTCTGCATGTTTTATTTCCCGCGAAATGTTAGGGATACTTGTATCCCTAGTGATGTGGGAATGTATGGTGGTTCTTTAGGGATACGCAGAACACGACCGCCATATTGCCGGGGATACACATATCCCTAGTGAGGTGAGCATGGGGATACACAAATCCCTAGTGATATTAGTAGGGGATACACAAAACACGGGGATACTCATATCACTGTGACACCGGTGCCTTGTTTAAAATTTTCTCGAGAGTTTCGCGAGGTGTAAATAACGCCGGTCTCGAGCCCCGGACACCCGTATCACAGATGAAGATAGCCTGCGAACAGGCTCTAAGATGAAGAATAATATATTTACGTTGTGACCGGAAATGACGAGTGGGTTCCGGAAATGGCTCGTATGTTGTGCGAACGTACTTCCGGTGATATGACACTTTAGCTTGCAAAACCTTTGAAAAGTTGTGTATCAGAAGTTTGCACCGAATTGCACCGAAGAAACGTCGATTTTCTGGAAATTTATCGCTTAGAAAACTGTCAAAATGTTACGACAATTGTCCCAACTCCGATCTGCAAGAAATCAGCCATTGCTTGCTCGAGGATGCCAGCTATTTCGCGTTGTGGCTTCAAGAGAAATCACGAGTGATATAGCACAGCAAGAGGACCCTAACTTTCACGAAATGACCGAATTTTTCATTGAAAATGCAAGATATTATGTTGAAGAAAGGTTGGCCAATAAAGCTGAAGGTCCAGGGAAGAGACCAATCCCTCCTGAACAGAAAAGACAAGCTGTAAAAGGTAGCTTGACACGACATACTTTTTGTGTTGTCTCATATTATTTTGTGGTTAATTTTTTGCAAGGTTTAGTTAGAGTTTAGATTTTTATCGCTAATAAATGCTGTTATCACTGAAGTTGAAAACTATATCGATGCAACTATAATTGTTTGTATATGTAGTATCAAGAATTTAGTGCTGAAGATTATGCCAAAGTATTTCAAGATTTTGTTTTCATGCTTTTTAACTCGATCAGGTTATGTAATTTTCACAAACGGGAAAATACAATCTTTGAATTAAATTTGCACAATTAAAAGCATAGCTATCCGAAGCCTATATATCAGATGCTTTTATAGCTGATATTCGGTGCTAGCCAAAACAAAACGAAACAACAGTAAAAACAAAATGTCTAGTGGTATCAAATAACGCTATTAAATACACATCTATATATCCCAGTGTCTGGTTCAAATATTTGCACGTAGTTTTTCTTTTAAAACCTAAAACTACCCATTAATGGTTTTACCAAACGTTTTGTAATATTTTAAAGGATGGAAATATTTTCGGTTATAAAGAATTTTAATTGAAAAGTATGTACAAGGAAACGCTACAGGTAGCATAGCAAGCTGTTAGTTTCAAGCTAATATGTCAGTTCTAACTACTTCGATTTCTCGGTAAATATACACAATTTTGGCCCAAAATGCTGAATATGATAGGCAGTGTTTCACAGATTATGACTTCGCTTATAAAATTCGCTAGAAATCAGGATTATTTTGTAGCAATAAAGTAGGAAATTTAAAAAAAAATTTTGTTGTCAAAATTGAAGGACGTGGCCCGCATCCCTCCTGTGACACACCTCCATTAATGTCCATATTTGGTATGAGAATTGCGTAATTTATTCAGGCGTAACGCGCACTAATTATTATTTTTATGGGAGAATTTTTCCCATGAAAATTAATTGTTTTTCCGACATTTATAGATTTTCAGAATTAATAGCTTTACCCATTGTTTAAATGCATCCAAGCAAATCCAGCCTGTTGACAAGCAGGCTATTGCATGCTAAGACTTAGTTTCAGACAGCTTTAAAACATCAGTATTGTTTTGTTGCTATTGTCTTATTGCTGCTCAATTACAGCTGGATCGAGAAATAGGCATTTTCATCAAACACTACCATGCGGCAGAGTTAGAAAATATTCTCAACACTTTTCTTTACGTAAAGTAGTGAAGGAAAATATTCAGAGATGTATTCATCAGCATCTGTTGTGATGCTTACTGCATCAGTGTGATACTACATCTCGGTAATGCTTACTGCAACCCACCAATAGACCCTTCCGGACAGTACTTAATTAACCTTGGCTATAGAGCCTCGTTTTCAGGTGTGAGATATCAGCCTTCGAGCCCTTTTTATTGTCATTGGTGACCTAATATAAAAACCCAATATCTCAATGAGGTATTTAAAAAGGCTCTATAATCTAGTCTGAGTTGCTGGTAGGGTGCATTGTGCTATGATACTAGTCTATATATTGAATTGATACCTTTTCTTGATTGAATTCTGTCCATTTAGGCATCTTAGACATTGTCAAGCCATGTAATGCAGTTCTGGCTGTCCATTTTCCTGTGAGAAAGGATAATGGAGCAATTGAAGTGATACATGCGTACAGAGCACAACACAGTCATCACAGAGTCCCTTGCAAAGGAGGTAAAAATGTGCTGGTCTTGCTTAAGGCCAAGACACACCAGGGATGGATCCAGCATTATCTGGGGGGGGGGGGTGCTCTGCCAGCTCTGGTGCCGAGTTGTGTCGGTCATGTGTGCCGCCCTCCCATCAACTTGCTTCACTACTGCAAAGTCTTGCTTGACTACAGTATTTGAATTTTAATTGTTGTTCACAGTTTGCTTATCATCATGTTATTGCTAATAATTTTTTGCTTTATCATGAAAAATAGCACCACCCCCCTGCACCCACTCTGGCCAGGGCTAGGGGGGTGCACCCCCCCCCCAGTAAATCCATCCCTGCGATTATGAGTGTGAACTACAACTGCCACTGAGCACCAGCACCTGGCACTGAGCACCAGTGTCTGGCATATTAGACAGAATATAATAATAAAGTGCTTAGGGTGCAATTGCCACTTAAAGGGTTAAAGCACAAGATTTTCCCCTAGGTAATAGACAAGTCTGGCAAGGCTATTCTAACTAATGATCATTATTTGCACAGGAATTCGATACAGTGCCGATGTGAACAGTGATGAGGTGCAGGCGTTAGCAACGTTGATGACATTCAAATGTGCTGTTGTTGATGTTCCATTTGGTGGAGCTAAAGGAGGCATTGCTATCAACCCACATAATTATTCTGTAAGTTTATACACATGGTAAAAACTATCTGTTGTATATAACTATGATGTAAAACTTGGTTGCCCACCACCATCCCTACCAATATCATCACCATCCCTACCAATATCAATATATCATCACCATCCCTACCAATGTCGTCATTGTCATCACTATCATCCTTGTCTAGCTATATCATCATCACCGTTTCCTTCACTACTTTCACCATCTTTGCAATTATTATCACCATATCATTATTATCACCATCATCACCTAACCATCATCATCATTACCACCATCATTGTTACCATTACCACCATGCATGATCATGCCATCATCATTATAACCATCATCATCATCATATCATTCCCATCATCACTACCACAGACCTGCCAAGTCTCACAATTTAATCGTGAGACTCACAATTTTTTATGCTTTCTCACGATCTTACGATTAAGTCCCCAAATCTCACGATTTTCGGAATTTATGAAATCATCGAAGAGCACAACATCTATAGTTATACAATAAGGCACACTCTTCCAAGGAAACATCACACTTTATTAGTGTATTAATAATGCGCAATGTACAACGCCAGAATTTTGTATGTGTGATGTTTGTGTTACAAAGTAAAAGGCGTGTCCTGCTAAGTTTATTGTCCTCTAGTCTTAATATTACTCGTAATTTTCTTGTTTTTGTACAGTGGAAGCTACTAAAGCCATAAGGAAAAAACAGCCTATTTTTAATAAGCCAGGCATTTACGGTTATATTAACAAAATATAAATGCATACTAGCTATCACAAAATTGTAAATCTAATGATTATTTTCTAGTGTTGTTAAAGTTAACCCTGGTCACATTAATGAGCAAACCTGAGAATTTCTCTCACGATTTTTCAGTCAATCTCATGACTTTTTAGACGGCAACTCAATTAATTTCTGCTACTCAAGGGTTGGCAGGTCTGCTTCCATCACCCCCATCATCATTATAACCATCATTACCATCATCATCAACTTATGAATTATATCTAAATCTTTTTTGTCAAGGATGGTGAACTAGAGAGAATAACTCGAAGGTTCACTGTTGAACTGGCGAAGAAAGGATTCATTGGTCCTGGTTTGGACGTGCCTGCCCCGGACATGGGTACGGGGGAAAAAGAGATGGCTTGGATGGTGGATACTTATGACATGACATTAGGTAAGAATAGTATTTTGTTTTTACATTGTGTGGCAAAGTTTTTGCCTTGTATGAGAAGAGTACTCCCAGTTTGGCAAATATCCAGTTTCCTCCTGTACTGTAGCTCTGGACCATTGGTCCATTCACATATGATTTCTTTTCAGGGCATGGGAACATCAATGCGTATGCATGTGTAACAGGAAAGCCAATTAGTCGTGGCGGTATTCATGGGCGTATTTCTGCTACAGGAAGGGTATGAAATGCTTCGATTAATCTTAGTTTGCATTCTGAACAGCTATGCATATAAGCATATGGCTTAAGTTTGGTCACTTAATTTTCTTTATGTTTGCCAATGCTATGCTCTAAATTCATCTAAATTTCATTTTCCAGGGAGTTTATCATGGCATTGACAACTTCCTTAAATCAGGTGTGTTTTAGATATATGCCAACATGCATGCTCGTTTGAGATTATATGATTTACCATCACCATAAGTTTACCATCATCATCACCACCATCATCATTACTATCACCACCACCATCATCACCACCATCATCATCATTGATCATCATCACCACCACCATCTCACCATCATCACCACCATCATCACCACCATCATCATCATTGATCATCATCACCACCACCATCTCACCATCATCACCACCATCATCATCATTGATCATCATTACCACCATCATCATCATTGATCATCATTACCACCACTATCATCATCATCATCACCACCACCATCCCTGATTAATGTGTTGTTGTTTAGAAAAATACTGCAAGTTGATCGGCCTGAAACCTGGCTTAAAAGACAAAACGTTTGTCGTGCAGGGTTTCGGTAATGTCGGTCTCCATTCCTGCCGATATCTACACAGATTTGGAGCGAAGTGTATTGGTGTGATTGAACGTGATGGCAGCATATTTAATCAAAATGGCATTGATCCCAAGAACCTAGAGGATTATAAACTGGTAACACAACACTACTCACTAAAGGAGCGGTCATAAAGTAACTGCTAGGGTGTGCCGGAGTGAAAATATGTTTTCCAGAAGAAAAAAACGGTGGCCCATTCTGAGAACCTAGAAAAAATTTCAAAGCCCATCGTAGGTCATTGGAAAAATTTCACGACCCATCCCGCTATACATGAATATGTACAGACCATAGCAGTCACTTGGCATGATCAAATTACTAGTTATAGTATGTATTGAGTGCAAACACATATAGCCATATGTGTTTTATGGCCCATCCATTTGCCCAAAAACAAATTGATGGCCCACCCAAACTGATGAAAATAATTTCATGGCCTATCCTTATTTCCTCCGGCCCACCCTAGCAATTACTTTATGACCGGTCCCTAAAGGCCAATTTACACTATACACAACTTTTGCCTAAAACTGTCGCATGCAACCTGCTTACAACTTGAGTTGTACTGTGTAAATCAAACACACAACACGCCTACGTTGTCGGAGATGAAAAATGTTTCCAAATGATAATAAGTACAAATAATGCAATACAATAATCTCTTTCAGCAACATGGTACAATTCTTGGTTTTCCAGGAGCAGAGGTAAGATTAAGAAACATACCTAATGTCCCAGTGAAACTACAAACAGGAATACAAAAAAAGACACACGTGATTAAAATGCTATTCGATTAACCAATCAGATGAATTTGAACTATGCGATTAACCAATCAGATGAATTTGAACTATTCGATTAACCAATCAGATGCGTACTAAGCCAGTGAAAGGTAGCGGAAGTCAAACTGAATCTCTGGTGACAAAGACACGCGTGATTAAAATGCTTCTATTTCTGTTGACTAGATGACCACGACAGATCTGCTCGAAGCTGATTGCGATATCCTGATCCCTGCTGCAGGAGAGAAACAAATCACTTCCAAGAATGCGCACAACATCAAAGCAAAGGTGAGGCATGTTGCTTGCAAAATTTATTGCCTGTTAACATTCGGTTGAATATATCTTTTAAAACGTGTTTAGGTTATCGCTGAAGGTGCCAATGGACCAACAACCCCTGCAGCTGATAAAATTTTAATCGACAAAAATGTTTTAGTTATCCCAGTGAGTATTTGTTTTCTGGAAAACACTATCACCCAGCATCACCATCATCATCACCATCATCACCACTGGAGACCCAGGCTCTATTTGCCCGCGTCCGCCTGTGAATTCCTTATACATCACCATCATCATCACCACCACCATCATTACAATCACCATCATCAAAATCACCATCATCACCACCACCATTACCATCATTATCACCACCATCATCACCATCCATTCAAACTTAAAGTAGCGTTCACACGTTCCATAAAAGATATTTGTCATTTTATTATTTTCCTCTCTTCAATTCCTCCAGGATTTGTACCTGAACGCTGGTGGTGTCACTGTTTCATATTTTGAATGGTTGAAAAACTTAAACCATGTTAGCTATGGTAGACTAACGTGGAAATATGAAAAGGAGAGCAATAAGTATTTATTAGGTACGTTATCTGTTTTTAAATTAGTCAGGGTTCAAAATAACGGCCGGTCAACGGACAATGACCGACCAAAAATGCCTCTTGACCGGTCACTTTTTTACCTCACCGGTCATTTTGACCGGCCACATTTTCATGCCTTCCAATGTGATTGCTGACGTCTTGAATTAAAACATGAAATTATGATGTATCGAAACAAGTTTCTCATAGTTTGTTTCACTCTTAGTGTAAGCGTATCATTGACCGGTCACAAACAGATTTTGTAGACCAATTTCATGGCAAACTTTGGAAGTCAACTTTGGATTATTATAATTTTTTGTAGGTCAAAACTGGAATTTGTTGCTCCAATTTTTAATAATATTGTAGACCAGAAGAAATTCTGGACTCTGGATTGTGTTAGGATAAGGATTAATAAAATAAGGATAAGGTCCTATTATTTAATTAACTATGGTCTTTTTCAATGAAAATTCTAGGTAGCGTGGCAGAAAGTTTAAAACACGCCTTCAACAAAGAGATACCAATTATGCCTACGGACGCATTTACTGAAAGAATAGCGGTGGGTTTTTTCAAAAGTAGTCGAAATTCATATTCCTGATAGAATGATCGCAAATGTAGAAAAGAATAGTGATTGGTATTTTGATTTTTGCAGGGTGCCTCAGAGAAGGATATAGTTCATTCCGGTTTGGAATTTACTATGGAAAGATCAGCAAGGGTAAGTGTCTTTCCTGGATGTTTGCATGGCTATACATTTACACTACACCAGATAGATTTCCGTAGCGGCGTGAAAAAGCACCTATCCGATACGGAATGTACGACTTTCAAACGCTGAGCGAAACAACATCTCTCCGTTGCAATAATTCCTCTGAAAATAGCGTTCCTAAAAGGTGTTTTCTCATGCACGTCGCTACGGAAACTAGACAGCCTTATGTAGGACTCATGGGTTCTAAGTTTCGAACCGAATAGTTTCGTCCGCTATTGGTTCAGTGTTATTACATGAGGAACCCTAAGTCGTGTTTACCGACTACCAGCCTTGGCCCAAATTTTGACAGTGTAAACAGATTTTGGGCAAGCCTTGGCCTGACCTAGGCCAGGAAATCTCGACCCACTACAACCGGTGGCCTAGGCCTGGCCTAGGCTTGTGGAAATGTAAACACTTTCGGCCCTGGCCTGGGCCTTATTTTCATGGCAACGTGTGTCCTCAGTGAGAGACTAGCAGACAACCAGCGGACAATGTCACAACACATAAGAATACACAAAATTAATTACAAAATTCTAGGCCAAAGTGAGCCAGTCTCAAAAAAATAGTGTAATGGTGTAAACGCGCCACATTTACCTTGGCCAGGCCCAAGACTTGTAGTGTAAACACGACTCTAGAGTAGCGTCACAGATGTGAGGCATTCACCCCCCTGGACGTCCACTATTTTGAATATTATCAGGGGGTGAATGCCTCTCATAAGCGCACTGGCTAGGACCATGGCGTCTGCATTTTGATGACGAATTATGGTGCCTACCCCTACTCTAACCCTAACCAAAATAATAAAATAAAACCGAAAAGATCAAATGACGTAACATCAGTTTGATGGTTGGAAACTAGTGAAAACCGTTGTACTGCGAGTGCCAGTAGTACACTGGCTATGGTGAAACCCTCCTATATCTGATAAATTTTACTTTCTACAGCGTATAATGTTAGTCGCGGACGAATACAACTTAGGTCTGGATGTTCGTACTGCAGCTTATATCGTCTCGCTTGAGAAAATATTTGGAACATATGTCGATGCTGGGCTCACATTTTAAATTAACAAAACAACTATTTATATTTCTGAAAGGTATTTTAAATTTCGATAAAAACTCAGGAAGAAAGATAAGAAGAGTTAGCCAGGATTTCAGAGAGCGCAAAATGTATGATGCAGCTTAGTGAATAGAGTTAGCAGTGAATAAACAGCAAGCAAGCATATTGACATTTTTGAAAGACTTTGGTGGCCAGTCTTATTAAAAGACAGACTTGCATGTATAGAGATAACAAAGAACGAATTAGCGACATATTGGCAGCTACGAAAGATATTGGATACCGATAAGAAAAGTTATAAAAAATTCAGTCAGAAGCTTCTCCTAGCAGTCAGATTTGTAGAAAATATGGAAAATTTATCGACGGAGTTGAGAAAGCGCTAGCAATTGGAAATTACTTGACAGAAAGACGATAGTACGGAAAGGAATTAGACTTCAATAAAATTGAAAAGTCGTATATACAGTTCAGGAGAACGTTTCTTTTTGTAGCCAGACTTGCAGAGCAGATCAGTTGCGGAATATTCGAAACAGACAGATAGAAAAGAATTACTTCCAAACTATCACCACCACTATCATCATTATCGTTACCATTCTCATCAGTACCATTATTATCATCATCATCATCATCATTACCATCATCATTACCATTATTATCGTCATCATCATCACCACCACCACCATCATCGTTACCATCATTATCATCATCATCATTACCATCATCACCACCACCATCATTCCCATTATTATCATCATTATCATTGCCACCATCATTACCATTATTATCATCATCATCACCACCATCATCGTTACCATCATCACCATCATTACCATCATCACCACCACCATCATTCCATTATTTACCATCATTGTCATTACCATCATCATCATTTCCACCAACATTATCATCACCAACACCATCATCACCATCATCACCATCATCACCATCATCATCACTATACCACCACCAAACTAATCCTACAATATCTTTCTCTATTTCAGCGTATCACTCATGTGGCAGCCAGCTATGACCTTGGTCTAGATTTGCGCACAGCAGCCTATATTCACGGTATAGAACGCCTATACAATACCTACGCTGCCGCGGGATTGGTTACTTTCTGAAATTAATATCTCGAATATATATGCGATGTTACAAAATGTAATTTAATGATAATTCTAGTTTTACTTCTTGAGAAAACTGCCTGAACAAGTTTAGTTTATACTATGTTAATTTACTGAATGTACAATAATTACGAGTATTAATGTAATATTTCAATGTATTTTAGTGTGAAGTAAATATTATAAAATAATGATGCTCTATATTGCGGAGACCAAACTAAGTTTGCCATCGATTTATATTCGCTGCATGTTATTCTGTTAGTTTGTTCGGAATTACAGCCTTGGTATTTATTCAAAAATAGTCACGCTTCTGGCGCACTTGTCAGTTGCGCATGCTCCAGGGCACCACACTAGAGACCTTACGATTTTAGGACGGCGACGGCCAAAACAAACTCCTTCAAATAAATGGTAGTAAAGATAGTTCGTGGTATATTATCAATCGTATCAATTTAATACAGTCTTAGAAGTTGAAGACATGGGTTTTATGGTTGGAAAGAGTTCTGCTAAACCCAGTTTGAAGTTGCACTTTTTGCGTTTTGGAATGCAGCCGTTGTATATCAAGACGTTGTAAGACCTTGTAAACAGACCGAGGACAATGTCTAAATTATTCATATAATTATTGTAATTACTCAATTCGTTTCAATGATCTATTGTATTGGTAGCCGTTGCCATCCTAAAATCGTAAGGTCTCTATTGTTGGAAATCACACCGTGTGCGCAAAATGAAAAATTTGATGTTTGAAACAGGCCCACAGCCATAGGCACAACGAGGCACAACAAAAATTGCCTCGGGTACAAGTAGAGTTCCAGACTGTAAAGTTTTGACTTTGGAGAAAAATAATTTCCTGCGCAAAAATTCTTCTGCACAAAATTTTTCAAATTGTAAAAAACTACAAATAATTTCTAAGGAATCTGCACAAATTGTCTTTGTAAAGCAAGAAGATTTCTGATCTTCTTATTTGTCAAAAACACTTTCTGACTGCAGGCTACTCTTTGTCTGGCATAAATATTCTGTGAAAATATCTGACATTTCTGCGCATTTTTCCAAGGAAAAAAATGTCCTGCGCAAAATTAAACCTGTTACAGGGTGTCCACGGGCCTTGAAAATCCGGGAAAGCCCTTGAATTGGAAAAAAAAATCCAGGACTGGAAAGTCCTTGAAAATCAGTAGAAGTCATGAAAGTCCTGGAATTAATTTCCTTAACCTCCAGCTGTGCCAATATTAGTGATTTTCATTAAAATCCGTGGCAAATCCCTGCCATTTTCAAAGATTTTTCCCAGTTCTAGGTCCTTGAATTTACTGAAAAAGGGCCTTGAAAAGTCCTTGAATTTCACCTTCACCAAAGGGTGGACACCCTGCACGGACAAGTTTTGCTGAAAAGTTTCCAATCAAAAATAAATCTCACCTGTTCGTTCCATCATCTTTGAACATCTTTACACTCTCGATCTAGGGCAAACTTTACAACTGCTTTTCAACCTATAGGATTTAATAAGACAAGTAAGTATCAAGGCATATTTTATCAGACTAATTAAATTTTTTTACTGACAAACCTTGCTGTATAAAAGGTTTAAGAAAAGTTCCTGAATCAACCTTTCTGGTTTGAGCAGCATTCAAAATATTTGAACAATTATTAAACAATGATTTGAACTTTGAACTCCATTATATAATGTCAAACATTCGGACTCACATATACGTAAAGAATTTAATTGTTTGAATATAACCACAATGTTTCCCAATTTATAAGATGGAATGTTGAAGTCAATTGCTGTCGATTTATACGGCGAAACCCGCTCCCATACTTAACACTTAACGTGCTGCAACGAATTAAACAATTTAAAACGTCCATTTGTCTCGAATAAAAACGAAAATTCGACGCCGAAGAAGCATTTAATTATAAAGCAGAGTGACAATTTTAGGCATGAACAAAACAATTTGTCAATGTCAAAAGCTTTCAGGCGAAATTTCCCTGTATACAGTACTTAAAAACGTGCTTACAAACACTCTAAATCGTAGCCAAACTTTGTTTAAACAACAGTTGAAAGAAACAAGAATAAAGTTCACTTAAAACTGATATGAAGTCAAGAGTTCCTTCGTTCGCTTGTCGCCGAGCTTGTCGCAAATTTTTTGGCGGCAAGTTTAGAATGCAAAAATACAGCTGAATATTTCACGAAATACATTAAAAACATACACAAACAATTAAAGGCTTACCTGTTATTGCATTCTAACGTTTTTTTGGATGGTTTTGTATGCTTTCTTGTCCAAAAAATTGTCGTAAATTAGATGTATAATTTCGACTTTCGGCTCTGAACAACACTAGCCCCACATGAATTCACCTTCAAGAGCGGGATTTTATTCCTTCTTCTGATTGGCTGTCACTCCAAAATGCTGCAACCTTATTGGTTGTCCATGCTCCTAAAGTCGCAATGCTGCTCTCTGATTGGTTCTGCATTGTTCTCAGGAATTCAGTCTCAAGAAACCAGTCCTGCTTTCAGATTAACTGACTTTAACTCTAGATTCCAAAACTATATAACCATAGCGAAATTTCGCCTGAAAGCTTTTGAAACTGTTTCCAAAACTAGTTGACATTGACAAATTGTTTTATTCATGCCTAAAATTGTCACTCTACTTTATAATTAAATGCTTCTTCGGCGTAGAATTTTCGTTCTTATTCGAGACAAATGGACGTTTTAAATTGTTTTAAAATTAGTTGCAGCACATTAAATGTTAAGTGATATACCTTTTAGCCACAGACCGCCGTGGCTACAAAGTATACTGACATCTGATATACTTTTTACCCACAGACCGCCGTGGCTAAAAAGTATACTGAAATCTGGTATACTTTTTACCCACAGACCGCCGTGGCTAAAAAGTATACTGAAATCTGGTATACTTTTTAGCCACAGAACCGCCGTGGCTAAAAAGTATACTGAAATCTGGTATACTTTTTAGCCACAGGACCGCCGTGGCTAAAAAGTATACTGAAATCTGGTATACTTTTTATCCAAAGACCGCCGTGGCTAAAAAGTATACTGAAATCTGGTATACTTTTTAGCCACAGAACCGCCGTGGCTAAAAAGTATACTGAAATCTGGTATACTTTTTAGCCACAGGACCGCTGTGGCTAAAAAGTATACAGAAATCTGATATACTTTTTAGCGACAGACCGCCGTGGCTAAAAGTAGAGTGAAATCTAATATACTTTTTATCCACAGACCCCCGTGGCTAAATAGTACACTGATAAATAGTACACTGAAATCTGATATACTTTATACCCACAGACCGCTGTGGCTAAAAAGTATACTGAAATCTGATATACTTTTTAGCCACAGGACCGCCGTGGCTAAAAAGTATACAGAAATCTGATATACTTTTTAGCGACAGACCGCCGTGGCTAAAAGTAGAGTGAAATCTAATATACTTTTTATCCACAGACCCCCGTGGCTAAATAGTACACTGATAAATAGTACACTGAAATCTGATATACTTTATACCCACAGACCGCTGTGGCTAAAAAGTATACTGAAATCTGATATACTTTTTAGCCACAGGACCGCCGTGGCTAAAAAGTATACAGAAATCTGATATACTTTTTAGCGACAGACCGCCGTGGCTAAAAGTAGAGTGAAATCTAATATACTTTTTATCCACAGACCCCCGTGGCTAAATAGTACACTGATAAATAGTACACTGAAATCTGATATACTTTATACCCACAGACCGCTGTGGCTAAAAAGTATACTGAAATCTGATATACTTTTTAGCCACAGGACCGCCGTGGCTAAAAAGTATACAGAAATCTGATATACTTTTTAGCGACAGACCGCCGTGGCTAAAAGTAGAGTGAAATCTAATATACTTTTTATCCACAGACC